GGAGCAGTTGGACTCAGGTTAGTGGCAGGCCTGGTAAGGGACAGGCGGGGGCACGTGCCTGCAAGAGGGAGGGGGGTCTGGGTGTGGCAGTAGGGCAGTGGTTCATGCAATGACCACATGTTACGCATCTCCCATTTGCCAGGAGAATTCAACTTTCCTTTCCCACAGGAGTGGATGGGCAGGGAGGGAATCTGGATGTGATGGTAGAGCAGGGCTCAAGCCATGCTTCTTTGGAGAAGACAAACGGAGGTTTACTGCACAGATATCAGCCAATAGCTTCCCCTGCTTCATCCAGACTGCCATGCGAGCTCTCAGCCTTTGTCCAATCACACAGAATGATAAGGAGCAGATGCTGACAGTGTAGCCAGAAACCTGAACCTTAGGCTGCAATGCTTTGTGTTGCAATGATGCCAGACCACTTACTGCTGGCTTGGTGAGGAAAGAGGTCCTATCATGGAGGACTGAATAGGGCAGGCTTCTCCAAAAGCCTTGCAAGAAGGAGTAAAGCGTTCCTCTCTGAGAGCTTTATGGAGATGTGCAGGGAGGATTCCTGCTCTGTCTCCAGACATGCTGTTCCTGGAACCCCTGCTGTGTAGACACATTGGCCACCACAGATCATGCTTGATTGCCTTAAACCATTTTTGGCAAGATTAAAAATGTGAACTCACCAGAAGTGCCCTCCCCAGGATCAGTGCCCAACTGTGAAATGTCCTGAGAGGAGGGGATTATCTCTAAGGTTATAAAAAGGTCCTGGCTGTCAGTGACATTGGTTCCCCTGCTTGCTTGTTGACCATTTCCCTCTTCTTCCTCATCCATGCTGTCCTCCACACTACTGTCTGAGGAGCATCTTGTGAGGAATCCATGGGCTTGTTAGGGAAGCAGGTCAAGTCGCCCCCAAGGATCACATGCAGATGCTCATAGAAGTGGCATGTCTGCAGCAATGATTCACATTATCCATTTGCCTCCTTTGTCTTTTGGTGTGACTGCCTCAGCTCCTTTATTTTCACTTGGAATCACTGGGCGCCCCGGTATATTCTCTCTCCTCAATGTCCTTGCTGTTTTGGCATAGGTACCTGTATTTCTTTCACTGGTTTATAGGTCTGCAAGAAGAGATTCCTCTCTCCACACAGCAATGAGGACCAGGATCTCCTGCATACTCCAAGCTTGGTTCATGTCTGCAAGCCTGGGATTCATAGTCAGACGTGCTGGTCAGGCATGCTGCCTGCTCTGAGGTCTGCTCGCCATGCTGGCTACACAGAAAATGAAATTCAGTTTTTCCCAGGGCTCTTCCTGTTCACCTGGAAAGCAGCTGAGCTGAAAGTCCTGGCCAGATGTTCACCGCAGAGTTCTATGGGACACCTTCTGGAGGTCAAGAATATCAACGTAAAGTCAACCATACAAGTTCAAATTTAGTGTTACTCCTCGTGAAAACAGGAGTATAGAAATCAACTTTAACACCCCTTAAAGCTGTGGTTCTCAACTGGTGGTCCATGGTGACATTTTTGGTGGTCCACAGGAACACTGTCCAAAGTCACACGGCGTGAGCAGGCACCACCGTTAGGCTGTTTTACGCCGTGTTCACAAGCATGCAGTGTCATCCATAGCGTCACCTAGGACGCAACCCCGTTGTGTTGCCAGTAACTTCCGTCTGAGGCGCTGAGCGTCAGTGTAGCTGCCACCATCATACTGAGCGGTTGCTGTGTTGTTCGTCCTGTGATACATGTGCTGGAGGTGGTCCACGAAAATTTTTTGATTGGCCTGGTGGTCCATGGACTGAAATTAGTTGAGAACCACTGCCTTAAAGTCAATGAAACGAGGTTGGTAGTGTGGACTCATTCTTTAGAAAATTGAACGAATACAAATAAGTTTAAAATAAATGCCCAGAGTAGAGCTGGCCTCAGTCACACCAATACAGAATCAACAGCTTTAGGTTTTGAAACTATTAAAAAGAGGCCATTTCTAACAGGGAAATCAGTCTACAGGAACCAAGCAAGAGATCTGATAAAAGTCAACAGAATACAGAAAGATTGGAATTCTCAGCTAAAAAACATGGATTTAACAGATCTTTCAGTTCTGACCATGAGATTAATGACACTTACAGTTCATCAGCTTAATCAAACCTACCACTTAGCAAATATCAAGGTAGACGTTGAAATTAAGACATAATAGAAGCTAAGTGTATCCCACACAAGGAAAAAGAGCGTACCCCCACACAAGGAAAAAATTCTTATGTGGAACTAATAAATGGCAAAACCCCAGTGAGACAAGGCAGTTTGTGGTTTTTACACATTAGCAGGTGTAAGAAAACAAAAGGGGCATCTATGATTCACCTGGATCTGACAGCGGATCTGACAGCTTGTGTAAAAACTGCTTTTTCCCCCGCAGTGTCTTTACCTTGTTAGTTAACCAGGTAAAAACACAGCTTATACCTAGTGATGATAAGGCCTGAAACACAACAAAATGCTTTGATCTGGAAATACCAAAGATTAATCTTAAACACAATAAAAAAAAACCCCTACCAAATGAAAAATCCTGCACCCAGTAGCTAATTTAATTTTCATTAAAAAAAAAAAACCACAGCAACAAATGGTCTGGTAGCACTGTATAAACTAAACAAAACATGTAGATGGTATCATGAGCTTTCATGGGCACAGCCCACTTCTTCAGATGACCGGAGTTATGAGTTTAGGATGTGCAGACCCAAAATAAATAGGAGAAGGGAAGGGAAGTGGGGAGGGGAAAAAAAGGAAGGGGGGTGGGAGACAGAGAGCTAGAGGGAATCAGTAAGTATCTGAAGATTGGGTAGTTAAAACGAAGCAGATAAGAATCAGTCAATTGATAGTATCCTTGTTAAGGGTATTAGGAAGCTGCTGTCTGAACAAGAAATATGAACAAAAAACTTTTAATCACACATGAAGAGATATTAGAACGAACTATTAACCAATTTGTAAACAAAGTATAATAGGGTTACAAGGAATAACCAGCATGGTTTTGTCAAGCACAAGTAATGTCAAACCAACCAAATTTCCTCCTTTGACAGGGTTACTGGACTAGTTGATAAGGGGTAAGCTGTGGATATGACAAATCCTGATTTGACACAATCTCACATGACATTCTCATAGGCAGAATAGTGAAATATGGTCTAGATAAAATTACTATAAGATTGATGCACAACTGAATGAAATATCATACTCAAAGAAAAAGTATCAATGATTTACTATCAAACCAGGAGGGCATAATCTAATGGGGTTCCCCAGGGATGAGTCCTAAGTCAGGTACTGTTCAATATTTTTATTAGAGCCTTGATAATGGAATGGAAAGTATGCCTATAAAATTTACAGATGACATGACATTGAGAGGGGGTTCTAGTACTTTGGAGGACAGGACCTTGACAAACTACAATCTGGTCCAAAATCAACAAACTGAAATTCAATAAAGATTAAGTGCAAACTACTTCAGCTAGGAAAGAAAAAAAAAATCAAAGGCACAACAACAAAATAGGAATAAGTGGCAAAACTACAGAAAGGGTACTGTGGGTTATAATGGTTCAAAAACTGAGCATGAGACAATATTGTAATCCACTCTCCTCTCTTTCGGAAAAGATTCTTAACTGTGAGAATGACAAGGAGTCCTGTGGCACCTTATAGACGAACAGATGTACCGGAGCATAAGCTTTCGTGGGCAAAGATCCACTTCATCCAATACATCTGTTCGGCCATCTATAAGGTGCCACAGGACTCCTTGTTGCTTTTGCAGATCCAGACTAACACGGCTACCCCTCTGAACTGTGAGAAGACTCTCTGGAAACTTCTCCAAGCAAAACAGACACACAGATGTATATGAACTAGGTGGAGAAAAGACTATTGTTTCCTGGAGCTACTGAGAGATAGCTACTATCTTATTTAAAAGATTCTCAGGTCAGCAGCACTGTCATCTTAAGCCAGGTATACAAGAAAATTAGCTTGTCTTAACTATGTTGATCAGGAGAGTGAGAAACCCACTCCCCCAGAGCAGAGCTGTTAAGTCCCCATGTAGATAGCGCTAGGTCAATGGAATAATTCTTCCCATTAACCTAGCTACTGCATTCTGAGTAGGGATGTTAAATATTGGTTAACTGAATAGTTGAGTAACCTCATGAATTCTTATCCATTAGTCAACTATTCTATAGTCCCTATGGGAGGGGCAGGCAGCCAATGCGTTCCTGGCCTCACTCCCAAGGAGCAGCGTGAGGTGCCAGGTGAGAACTAGTCCATATGGGGAGTCAATTTAAAAACCAGCTCCCCTCATGGACCAGTTGCCTGTTGCCCCGTGCTGCTGTATCTGATACAGAAGCAGCAGTGCAGAATGGCAGTAGCCTCTGTCTAGAGGGTTCTGAGTTCCTGGACCCGGTGTAAACCAGGTTGCCTGCCCACCCAGTGCCTAATACACTTTAAATGCAGAGCCACAGCAGGAGTAGATCCCGGACCCGTCACAAGCCAGGACAAAGCCAGGCTCCTGGTTAGCCTGCTAAAAAAATGTACTGGGGGGGTGGGGGTGGAGAGGAAATGCATGTAGTCTATAGCATTAACCTATAAGCTTTTGCTTTGCTTATCAGATAATCGGTTAATAGACTACACAATTACATCCCTTATTCCAAGAAGATGGACTACCTCAGCTGTGCCACTGTAGCATTTAAGAATAGATAAACCCTTAGGAGTAGTAAGGTGGTGCTGCAGAAAGAGTTAGACCAAGTAACACAATTTGTAGTAATGATGATTTTACTACCTTTCTACCAGTTTAGAGGCATACGTTGCTATGGAGACACGCTGTAACCCCCCTTCCTCCCAGGTACTTGCATGTGGATTGGGGTGGGGGGAGGGCGGGCTATTTCACTAGCTAGGATGTCTGGCTGCCAATTAACAAATTTCAGTGTCCTTATTCTTGATCCATTTTAAATTAATCAAGGAGCTGAATCTAGACTGAGGCACAGAAATAGCTGAAAAAAAGACTTGAAGAGTCACCTGTAGATGAAGAGAGGGCACAGAGGCAGGCACATGTATAGAACAGGTGCAGACTTCCCAGGCAATGTCCTGATAAAATCCAGAAGCTAATGCTGAACTTCGCTTCCAGCCTCTTCTCCATGGCCTTCGTGGGCAGAACCAGGGCTCTAGAAACACACAAGAGAAATTATGAACCAAATAATTTATATGTAGTTCTTCATGAAGCTGACAAGGGGAAAGAACTGGAGGAGTTAGGGAAAATGGAGCATTCAATCTTATCTACCATGACTCAGACCAACTGCAGAGAAGTAATTACCAAGATTATGAGAGATATCAAATAAAAACAACAGTAGCCTTTTTGTGTTTGTACTGTAAGAAATTTGGTTTACTCTCACAATCTCTCTAGACACTACCACTTGCATCTCTGAAGCATCAAAAGCAAAATCCCCAATAGCATCATTATAATCCATTTGATTCTGTATGAGCACTCTGGAAACTTCCTTTTCCAATCTGCAACATGCAGCTGACATTCAGCCAGCTCTGCTTCGATAAAACAAATACCAATAAGCCCAGCACATCTGCTAGGAAGGCAGCACAAAATGTCATCACTTGGTTATTTGTACTGGCTGGTACCAGTCGGAAACAAAGACAGACAAAAGTTAAGCAGCATTGATAAGAGACCAATTAAAAGCCTATCTTGTTACACAGTTTGTTTCTAAGGACACAAGAGGATGATACTACTGGTCAAACCAGAAGCTTAATCTTTGAGTTTCCAGTTTTCATGTGTGCCAAGAATGAGGGTGCATTCAAAAACAAAAAACAAGTTGTAACTGGAGTTTGACCCGGTTCCTCTCTGTTCCCTGGCTACCCTCATTCTCAGACTGAGGGTGTGTCTAGACTACAGGGTTTAAGAAAAGGCCTTTTTTCGAAAAACTTCACCTGCGTTTAGACTGCTGTCATGTTCTTTTGAAATTAAATCTAAAGAAGGCGGCAGTTTTTTTGACCGCGGAAAACCTCATTTTACAAGGAATAACGCCTTTTTTGAAAGTGCTCTTTTGAAAAATGGTGTTATTGAATGCAAACAGTGCTTTTTCGAAAGAGAGCATCTAGGCTGCCCAGGTGCTCTCTTTAGAAAATGCAGCTCTCTTTCGAAAATACTGGCTGCTGTCTAGATGCTCTTTTTCGAAAGAAGCTTTTTCGAAAGCCTCTTTCCAAAGAGGCATGTAGCCCAGACGTACCCTGAGAATAAGAGTCCAGATGTAACATTAACTAGCTCTGAGGAAATCTGTCACTCAAGTCTTCTTATAACATCATAAGTTACCTAAGTCCAGTTAATGGAAGGCTCTAGCGGATATATCTGAAATGTAAATGACTTGAAAAGTTAACAATCTACAATATCAAATATCTACCTTACAAGGCAGAATGTGGGCATTGTGATGCTCATGTAGTTTGTGTCTGTGAGCCACCTCACGCTTCTCTCATGAGATTCAGCAGCATTTTCGTCACTGAGTATCAGTTTATTCCTAAGGAAACTTCCATAGAACTAGGAAAAGAATTTTGACCAATGGCAGCAGACAAGAATACAGACATTAGATAAATCTTATTGATGCCAACAGTTTATGACAACAAGAAAATTTCACAGGGTAACTAATGAGAAAAGGGAGTAGAAGGGAATAAAAGAATATTTAACCAATAGAAAGCTTACAACATTTCTGTCCTGTATATTGAAAGCACCCCAAAAAATAAAAATTTCAATTTCTGCTGCTGCAGCTGTCTACGTGAATCATCCCACAATGTTTACTTGAAATGTTTTTAGATCAATGAAGATTTATCATAATCCGGTCTGTCCAGCTACGCAAAAGTCTGTTCGTGTACACAGCGATAAACTCTGTTTGATCAGCATCTTAACAGCTGTGAAATGAGACGTTCAGTTTGAGTAATCAGAGCTATTTTTTCATAAACTTGCAGCTCAGACAAACTAGTAAACCCACTGAGTATATGACTTTTTAAAAACACATGTTTGTCTTGTAATCATATACATTGCCTTGCATACATATTATGTTTCAAAGAGTTTGTAACTTCTACCTACCCATAACAGGTGAAAGAGGAGCATAAAATAAAGCAAAACCCTTTCCAAAAGGTGGCTCACAAGGAAAGTTTTGTATGGGCAGTCACACTAGTACACATAGATACCAAGTTTTAATAATGAAAATATCTCCAGTATCTACTGTTATCTGATAAAGTCTTTACCTCATTACTATAGTTCTCAATTTCTTTTCTTTCTACTACACAATCATTTGCAATTTGGGAACAGTAAGGTAACTATCCAAAATAAAATAAGAGAGACATTAAATAAAACACTTTTCAAAGTAAACCTGAATTTCTCTCATCTGCAGTGCTTCCCCTCCCCCAAACTACACAGCAAACTGAGAATGGAACCAAAAAAGACATTTGCGCTAGGTTCCCCTCTCCTGCTTGCAGCTCTTGACAGCATTTCTTTTTCTTAGAAACTCGAAGACCAGTTTGTTTTGTACAGGGGAAAAGTAATTTTCTGGAATAAAAAAAGGGGGGACTCAACTGAAAGTCTGACAGGGATCTGATCCATGGACACAAGAGGAATCCTGAGACACCGGAAAGACGAACATTTATTTGGGCATAAGCTTTTGCGGGCAAACCCCCCAGTTTGTCCAATGCCCAAGTAAGCCTGTTAGTTGTTAAGGTGCCACAGGACTCCTTGTTTCTGCGGACACCGACTAACGCGGCGACCCCGTCAGAGACTCCAACCATTGGCAGCGATATGATGAGTCCAGCAGAGAGTTACTCGCTCAGGTACATCCCTGGAGCCCTTTTATGTCGCCGAGCGGGGACTAAAAAAAGCCTCTGGGGCTGAGGCTGGCAACCAAGCCCCGTGGCCAGCACAACAGGCTGAGGCCAAGCGGCTCAGCCGCTGCCTGGGATCCCAACACCCCCCGAGGGTAACAAGCCA